GGCGTCCCGCCGCGGGGACCGCGCTGTCTGAGTACGCCGCTTGCTGCGGAGCCGGTACCGTGGCGCCGTGTGCGGGGAGCGGTGGGGCGCAGGGCGGCCCCGCAGGAGCAGGGCTCCGCCGTGCCCCCCGGAGCTTGGCGAACCCCCAGCCCCGTGGGCGCGTTGCTGGGGTCGTAGGAACCTCCTCGCCGGGCGCCGATCGGGGGGCCGGAGGCAGAGCACGTGCCCCAGGGCGGGCGAGGCGGTGGCGGGGCCGAGGGGGCTGCAGGCCGGGCCGGGGAACACACGCTGGGCCTCAGCGGGCCGGTGGTGGCCACGGGCCGGGCTGGCCGCCTGCAGCCTCGCCACACGCCCCCCGAGGAGCCCGGGCCTGCGGGGAAGGGGTCGTCCCTGTGCACGGAGACCTCTGTGCCGAGGCCGGGGGTGTTCGCTCATTGCTTAGCGGGCATACGGGGCTGCGCACCGCCGCTCCTGCACCGCTTGCTGTGTCCTGCGCTGCTGTCTGCTTAACCCCCAGCTCTTTTTCATAGCCTGAGACACACAGGGAGTGTATGCCATGGGGAAACCATGTATTTCTCATTCCTCTCATGTCCCATCTCCTGGGTCTGGCGACGCAGGGACCGCCTCGCGGAGCAGCTGCCGTGCAGCGTAAGCGCTATACAGAGCTGTACATCTATGGAATAGATGTGATGACCTCGGCGTGTGTCTCTAGCACACCAGAGACCGTGTGCCTCCAGCGTGGTGTCCCCCGGAGGGGCTGGCCCTGGCCCCTTGGCAGATTTGTCCCTTTACAGGCTGGTGGCTGATGATGGCAGCAGGTTCTGCGCTCGCCAGCGTCCTCGTCTTTCACGTCATCTCATGCCCTTTGCATGCTGGCTTTGTGACTCTTTATTATTTTTTTATTATTTTTTTTGCCATCAAGAATTTATGAATCAAAAGATGGGGGAGTGGAGCCGTGTGGAGGCTGAGTCAGATTGTGAAAAAGGAAAGCCAAGCGAGAGTGTGCAATTGCATATCACATTTACAAACATGCTTTTCATTCATCTCCATATGTTTCTCCTGTTACTACTAATAAAGCTCTGGTTTCTCAGACTGGTGCTAGCCTGGGAACGCTGTTTGATCTTCCTGGGGTTTTTATGGCCTCCATAGTATTTGTGGGATAGTGTATTATTTTCCCAATTATGTTTTTGTTATATTGAATACATGTTAGTAACAGAAAGAATCTGATAATATGAATGTACTTCCCACACCTTCCTCCTTTGTTCCTATTATTCGATGTGCAAAGAAGTGACAGGTTATTTACCAGCAGCAATTTTTTCCGTCTATACTGGCAAGATTTCCTAATTATAAAAACAAAAAAAGCCTTTTCCCTGAGCATACATCCCTATTTACTTCCCCTTTCTTTCCTCATCCTGCTAATGATGCCCAACTCCATCACATTCATTTTGAAGCTGAAGGAAATCTAGCTTTGTCTACTGAAATATTTCTACAGAAGCCTCTATAGGCAAAGGGAGCCAGAGAGCAAGGTCTGCTTTAGGCATAATGGTATTTGGGGGTTTCTTCCCTGGTAGGGAGGTATATCTGTGGAGTGTAAAGTAATTAATTTAATCCAGCATTGGGAGAGAAGAAGGAAAAAGAAGGATTGTATTGTTTCAAATGTAAGGTCTAAGTGGCAATTTCAATGACCTTCATGATTTCTATTTTAGACAAAAGGCAGTAACCTAGTACAAGGGTATGGTTTGTCTTCTGGCCTCATCCTTTGTTCTCCTTGGGTTTAGCCTGTCACTTCCCAGGGCTTGACTGTCCCTTGTTGGGGTGGCAGCAGCACCTCTCACCCATGACTCTCAGAAGCGCAGTTCTGGCAGGTGATTTTTGTCTTCAACTGCTTATTTTACGTCGTCTTTGCTGTGCAAAGTCTTCCCTTCTTACGACCCTCCATGTCTCTCTCCTCTGTGTCTTATTTATGCTTCAGTGTTTCTGTCTTGCCAGATGTTGTACTTGAAACTTTACCTTCCCCCTTCTCTCCCCTTTTTGTCTACTCATGCTTTTCCTCTCATTTTTATCACCTCTCATATATCTTCTCCTTCTTCCATCTTTTTCTTTTTTTCTTCCCCTCTCTTTCTGTCCTGGTTTTTATACCCTGTCTTGCTCTCTCCTTTCTGACGTCTCACTTCAGTCTGCTACATTGCTGTATCTTCCTCTTGAGATTTTTTTCCCCATGCTTTCCTTTGCTCATTACCCTCCCCCATCCTATCTCCTGACTTCCATTTACATACATATCTATGTATACATATGTCTCTGCTCCACTCCAGATCTTGCATTCTCCAGCTGAAACAAAGAAATGACTCTCCTGCTGATAGTCAGATCCTATTGCATCTCTTTCTCAGCACCTGAATTACGCTGCTCCTGCCCATCCTCAAACACACATATCGGGTAGACTGAAGAATTAATTATGTGGGAAATGTTCCTAAATTCGGAAGTGAGAAAGCAGCTCACTAAGCTGCACTGTGAACAGAGCAGTTATTGTGCTCCCACTGACAGTACCAGAGGAGCATTGTAAGCCCCTTGAGCCCGAGGAACTGATAGCATTTTCTTCATGTTTCTAAATTTCTGATTTTTGGTAATGAAGAGTCTATAATTTCAGATAAGGCACCTCACCGTCTGTTTGAATTATCCCTTGAATCCTGAACTGATCCAAAATAAGACCCCACCAAATGCTTTTCTTTTTTCCCCAATTGTTTTGTTTTATACATTTGTTAAACAATTGTGCGGCTATTGGGAGAGAAATGCTTTTCTCCTTGTCAGAGCTGAGCTCTGCCTCTGAAAAGGGCTCTGTGTGGGGCGAAACTGGGATCAGCTTCCCTTTTTTCTGAAGCCAGTGGGGGAGAGGAGAGAGCTGTGACTGCAGGATCATATGCATTGGGTGGGAGATGGAAGAATAGATGCCTAACTCAAAAATGCTACATTAACCTCAGGGGGTGGGGTGGGGAGTTGTTTAATAATATTTCCCCTTGACTATTACTGACTACAAACAGCATGACTGGGGATCAAGGGCAAATGTTAGATTTTGCTATTTAAATAAGACTCTTAGTTTAAAAAAAAATCTGATTTAATAATTAAACTTTTTTTTTTTTTTTTTTTTTTTAGGGAAAACCAAGCTTTAGTTTTAAAAGTGACTTTTTTTGGCTTTTCAAGGATTTGGAGAATGAAAGC